TCGAGCTTGGCTCCCGGCCAAACTTCACCTACCTTAATGACGGCCAACCTGTAGAGCTGGGCTGACCTATGGTCCTCGCAGGCGTGGAGTTTAGCTCTACCCTGATGCCATCCGGAATAATGGCAGAGAGGAGGAGGTCCAGGATTTTCCTCTAGGACTTGGAGGTATATTTCAGCGATCGCTTTCTCCACCAACCTCCGCTTCTCTTTGGGGATAGTCCCTTCCTCCTCCCTTCTGTCGATGATGGCCAGTACCTCACCGCCTCCCTTGACTACGTCCCTGACGTCCCCTACGTTTGACGACATATCACCTGCCTGTTCAGCAGATCGCTGCCTCTTTGGAGCAGTGCCTGCCGGTTTGCCCAAGCTGCTACTACTCCCCTCGTCCTTGGGTTACGATGTGTGTGCTTTGGGGCCTGACTTCCCTAGGCGGAGCTGACGATACTTCTCCAGTCGTGAATCGGTTGGAGATCGGGATAACTTCGAATGGACAGTTGATGGACCAACATACACATTTATGTATGTACATTTCAATTTCAATTTATTTCAGAGTATTAAATATTATTTAGTACAGTAAGACCAAGTTCTTTTATAGTACGACAAATAAATTCAATACAAAGACATACATTAATACGCATAATTAATTTGTGTTAAAAATGATTGTAAATTAAAATAAACTAATCGAAAGTTATTCTATTTGCTTTCTGGAACTTCATGCAACAAATGCTTCAATGAATGAGCATAGAAAAGCTTTAAAAATGTAGCAAGAAATGTCTGCAGTGCAAAAGTTTTACATATTCGTACTAACCCAAATTCTTCGCAGTCGAATGTTATTAATTAAAAATTTTTCTTTGAAATTTTTTTTAGAACTACTTCCAAAAAGGATAAATATAATCTGATTAAAGAACAGATTTGTTAATTAAATTTGCATGAATAGTTGCCAATGCATGCAAGAACTTGTTTTGATGCAAAGAAAGTAGGAACTTAATGATTTTATTGCTAAATCAATGCATTTACCAATTAAATGCGATTCACATTTGTTTGAGTATTTATGTAAATTTAATCTTCTCTCAACCAAAATTGGTTTTGCTTTAATTAAATTGTAATATTACAAGTAAAATTTGCGCTAAAGTAAAAAGAGTCGAATGGCTTTCGTGGACGCTATGCAGTTAAAAAGACATTTGGAAAATCTGGTAAACTTATATATATATAGTTACCAGATTGCGGCACATATGTACAAATGTATACACAAACACATATATAAGGGGCGTTCCATATCAAAACGGACAGGGTTCACACTTCATGTGTTTGATTTGTTTCAAATTTTTAGGGTTGATGCAAAACTTAAATAATAAATGAATATGAAATTTTAAACTTGATTAATACATTTTTAAAAAATTTACACCACAAAAACAAAAACAAATCGATTTAATTGTTTTCCAAATATCTCGAGAGGCGAGGAAAAAATTTGAAAAGAATCTCACATACCCACATCAAAACTCTCTATGAAAAGAAATACTTAAAAAAATGTATGCCGGTTTTGCAATCGCTTAAAACTTGCACTTTATTATACTAAAATTCAATGGGCTAATTTAAAAAAATTTTAGATTTGTAATATGCTAATTTTACTCAACTTTGGTGTAAAAAAAAATTCAAGAGTGTACCCCATAATACTATACTTAAATATTGCGCAATACTCAGAGCTAAAATTGCGATTTTGTTAAATTTTTTTTGAGATGGCATATTTTTAAAAACATATATGGCATATGTTAAAAATTTTTCAAAAATTTTTTTTAAGTATTTCTTTTCATAGAGAATTTTGATGTGGGTATGTGAGATTCTTTTAAAATTTTTTCCTCGCCTCTCGAGATATTTGGAAAACTATTAAATCGATTTGTTTTTGTTTTTGTGCTGTAAAATTTTTAAAAATGTATTAATCAAGTTCAAATTTCATATGTATTTATTATTTATGTTTATGCATCAACACATGAAGTGTGATCGCTTGATATGGAACACCCCATAAATACTTGGCAAAACTTTTGATATTTTTAACACATACTCTCACACAAAAACCCTACAAAAGCATGTAAATGAGTATGAATAGAACTTTAAAATTTGTATCTCCTTCTACTTCTTAATCCCAAACTCGTCGCCTAAAAATGTGTATGTATGTATGTAAATTGTAAATACAAGTGTGCGTGAACAAATAAAAGGCGTGCTTGTGAAAACTTTCTCTCACTTGTTTTTTGTCTTCGTATTTATACAAAGAAAATTTAATTCAGCCAACCATAGAATTTACCACTTAGACACACACACACACACACACATACATAGAAACGACATGAAATATTTAATAAGTTTATAATGCAAACAAAGGCCAAATTACACAAGTAAACAGTTATTTGGTGAAAGTAATAATTAAAATGTAAAAGTTATGAGACACATACGAAACTAAACGCATAAGATATGTTTAAAATATTAATTCAGTGTTGCTGTTTGGTAAACAAAAGGCATAGATATTTATGCGTTTGAGGTAAGTTATTGTAGAAAAGAAAATGCTGAAAAATTTTTGTTATTTCTTTTATGTAATTGTTTAAATGCATTAGGCTATACCGAATTTTTCTATGTGCTATTGTTAGTGGTAAGGCTGTTATTCATTTCCTTACAAATAATTGTTGCTTGTTTGAAAATTTGAGAAACTTTACTGGAGCATCGGAATCCATTCGAATGAGATGGCCAAGCCAGCGGAGCCGCTGTATTTTAATTCGCTGCACTATGTCTATGTCGCCGCAAAGCTCATACAGCTCATCATTCCATCGTCTGCGGTAGTCGCCGTCGCCAACGCGTAAAGACCCGTAAATCTTCCGCAAAATTTTTCTCTCGAACACTCCAAGAGCCGCCTCATCGGACGTTGTCATTTTCCATGCTTCTTCGCCATATACCAGCACGGGCATGATGAGTGACTTAACGAGTGTGATCTTTGTACGTCGAGAGCGGACTTTATTCCTTCCCTTCCGTCGGGGCATGGGCGCAGATGAGCGTGATGTTGAAGAATCTCGCTTTGATGCGAATTGTGGCTAGACGCTCGTCCACCGGGGTGAACGACAGTACTCGGCGACGAAATACGAAAACTGCGATATTTCAATAACGAAGGACGCCAATTTATTATAAGCTAAAACTTACAACAATCTTTTAAAAACAATTAAGGTCGGTCATAGATTTTCATAAATTTTCACCAATCTTGATCCAATTATTTCAATACGTCTACTGAAAAAAAAAATTTCAAATAATATTAAACTATTTGTGTAGACAATTTTAAGCATTTTTAAAATTGAAATAAATTTTCCAAAAAATTAAAAAAGTTATTAAAAAAAAGAGAAATTAACCCTCCACTGCATGCGAAGCCAAATATGGTGACACTTCTTTGGCATTTTTTCCCACTTTATGAGTATTATAAAAACGTATCAAACTAATTAAATGCGTTGAGATGTTAACTAGGGATAACGGAACGTAATTGCTTTCGGATGGTATTGAAAATGGGCAAAATCGGACAATAACCACGCCTACCTCCCATATAACGGTAATTTTCTGAAATACAAAAACTGCGATATTTTAGTAACTAATGACGATAATTTACTCAAAATTGACATTTACAATAACTTTCAGACGAAAAATAAGAATATTATAAATGTTTGGAAAATGGGCGTAGCCACGCCCACTTATGGTTACATGTGTATATCTTGGTAACCGTTGCACCGATTTCTTCCAAACTTGGCACAGTTGTTGGCCTTCGCACAACATACCAAATGGCCTAAAAAATCGGACAATAACCACGCCCACATCCCATATAACGGTAATTTAAAGAAATACAAAATCTTCGATAAATCACTAAGTATTAAAGCTAATTTATTCAAAATTTATGCTTGCAACAATTCTTTACCAAGAAATACGTTTATGATAAAATTTAAAAAAATGGGCGTGGCATCGCCCACTTATGATCACATATATGTATCTCGGTAACCGTTCTACCAATTTGCACCAACCTCGGTATGGTTATTGTGCTTACCACATAAAAGCAAAATGTTGAAAACGATTGAAATCGGGCTAAAATTACGCCCGCTTTTCATATAACTGTAAATTTCAGAAATGCTTGAAACTTCAATATTTCGAAATTGAAGGACGCTAATTTACTCAAAATTCATACACCCTGGCTTACCATGTAGCTGTAGCTTGCGGAAAGGTGAAAAAACATTTATTTAATACTTGCGCCGGGTATTTAATGTTCGGCTCCGCCAGAACTTAGACTTTCTTACTTGTTTTGATTAATGTTACGGGCGTTGTTTTTATTTAATTTAATTTGTTTTATTTTATTTTTCAAAGTAAATGCATTTTGAAAAATTAGTTTGAAAGTGTCTTGAGGCTGACATTTCTCTAGCCATATAAAGTGAAATACTACCACGCATTAGATGTTCAGCGAAGGTAATTAAAAGTTTTGCCCCTAAATGGTAATTACGAATATTACATTACTGTTATGATTTTAAATTTATGTTTTGTTATGAATACGAAATTCAACCATCTAACAACTTTTGGGGGAAAAAGTTACGAAATTTGTAGGCTTGTACTGTATTATTAATTGCCGCACAAGTACACCAGCAGACTCCTACACACACACACACACACACACGTACACTATTTTACATATGTACATATATAATTTCGGAAATTACAGCTCGGGGGCGTTGCAAATGCATGTAGCGTACAAAAGTAGGCATCAACTAATGCTGCATGCAACCACACACTACACACACTTGCAAGCACACACACCCAAACACACAAACACCCAAACCCGCATATTCACTTTCCCAACAACCATTTCAAGCGCCAGCATAAAATTGCCGCCAGCGTTGCGGGACGCCGCATTCGTTAGTGAAACTTCGAGCGCCAAAAACGCAACTCAACGGGCATTGCAACGCTATTTCATTCCGCCATCCGCACACTGCACCTCACCATCAAAGAATGCGCCATTTTCTGGGCCCACAGGTGCCCATCGAATGCAGCTTCTTCCGCATCCCGCGCATTTCGGCGCGCATCGCCGGTTTTTGGCCTCAATCACCTAACGGCCCGCCGCGCACTTCTCTAACGGTATTGCGTTTCTGCGTGAATACATTTGCGGTTGCTTTAGGCGCCTTCGGTGAGAATTTCTACGGTTTCATGTATCTGGACGATCTTTTTAGTGCACTCGAGGCATTCTGTCCAGGAGTTACCAAGGTCATATCGTTGTTGAAGATGACCATGTTTTTTGTACGCCATAAGCGTTGGCAACGTGTGATTCATGCGATGCGTATGTTGTTGTTGCAGGGTAAGTACCAGCAGCGTTTGTGAATATGTGTAGCGGAAATTCGTGCATAACTACATACTTACTTACATAGCATAAGTGTTTACCGGCCGGAGTGTAGAGTAAAGACTCTGTGCTCTGGTCGCCTGTGTGCTAAAGTATTTCTACAAACATTTGCATTCCGCGGTTTTTGGCAGAATGCCATTGCGAAATCAGTTGTTGTTGTTTGCTGTGTAGCTTTCTTTATTTTATGTGTTGTACAACATTTTCTCTTTTGTTACTTCTTCTCGCATCGCACACACACACACACACACATACACACAGATACCAGCAACGAGAAGCGTCGCATCATGGAGCCACTGGCCTCGTTTGCATCGCTGCTGTCCTTTGCGCTACTCGCAGCTGGTTCGCTAACGAATACGTTTTTCAATGTTTCGCCGCTGGTGAAAATGGTCTACTACAAATGGCAATCGCAGGAAACGCCGTTGCTGTTGCCCTTCAAAGTTGTGTAAGTTGATGGCGAAGTGTTTTGCGTTTTTGTTTGATTTAGCGCAACTAACTATGTTTATCCTATTTCAATATTTAGCTACGATATTTTTAAATGCCAACAGAAGTTTAGCTAAAAAGAGTAGAAGCCAATGTTTAAGCCGATCTGGCTCTGATTCCTTATCTATTCCATACACGATTTTATTTGTAAAGTTGTTAACGGGTTAGGTTAATTTGGCTAGTCGAGTGGGGCACGTAGACCTTTTGGCCTCTACTTAATTCTGAGCTAGCAGTTCTTTGCGTTGCTTCCCTGTGGGGAAAATCTCTAGCTCTGAACTGGTGCGCTTCTGGTACATTTAGACCCAGTACTGGTTCGCGAGAAATCACATTTGTAACTAGATCCCGTTTGTTTTTGGCGAAAAAGATTCAGTACGGAACTAGAAATTTGATTCACTAGTCCGCAGTTTCCCTGCAGGGTTTGAACCAGCATGCTAAGGATGCACAGGTTAGGTTAGGTAAACTCTCTGAAGCTCTGAAAAGAGTTCACTCGGAGAACACAACGACCATTTCCGATACTCCGGGGTTTCTCCATGTCTATCTTTACGTGTCTTTAAACCATTTTGATACTCTAGCGAAAGCTAGCAGCCCTTCCGGGGGAGTTTACCCTAAGATATCTAGGCTCTCGAAAAAATGGTCACCAAGAAATTTGATGAGTTTTTTCGGACTGAAAGCCACTCGCCGGACGGGCTCTGTCTCCTCCTCATCCCTGCAACTTCTGAAGAAGTCGTTATACGGGGCCCAGTTTCCCGTTGGTATTCCTGTGAGAAGACTAGCGTTGGGCTTTGAAAGCCTTAACAAGCTCCGTGTTCTTCGTCCGTCAAGCCGTGGCCAGAGCGAGCGCGATTCCATGCGGGTGTGCAAATGTTTCCACCTACTGTTGGTGGCTTCCCTGGTCACTCTCTCTCAACATCTGTAGACGGAAATCGCAGCAGAGGTTTTACGATCCGGGTCCCCTCCCCAATTTCCATCTTAGATCCCTTTCTAGCATATTCGGCCGGTCCCTCATTTCCCGGTACACCACACTATGCCCCGTGTCCTCGTAAAGATTGATTATGTATTGCTGTAAAGTTTGTAGGGATCTTCGGAATTACGTGATGCATATCGGGTTAGTGAAGCTATGAATCGCGGTTTCAATAGATTTGACTAGTTGATAAGAAAAATGGTTCCAGTTTAGAGTCCGATCTAATAAATTTGCTTGTCTTATGTACTGATCCCATATTTTCTCCATACCTTTTAGGATAAAGGAGCCGAGGTTCGCTTGGATGACGGTACGGCATAGTCGGGTTCTTGATAGCACCATAAAAAGGCATAGGAATTGCTCCAACGCTTCCTTGGTTCACGGCTCTTCGCTTCATGCTTTCCCGGCAACGTCAGTACGAATCGCGTATAACTCTTTTCAGTTTTATCTCGAAATTATTTGCCTTTGCTTGACCTACCGATCTCGTTCTATAGATTTTCTACAGAATTTCATTAATCAACATCCAACGGATCGATAAAGAAATGTTTTTAATATTGTAGCCAGAAAAGGGGCTTAGGGGAAGGCTATGGTCAAATGATCTAGTTGATCGAGCCTCGACCGCACTTGACAGGGATACTGGAGGTCATTTGAAGAGGAGAAATATTGCAACCCGAATCCTAGAAAGCTCAGTTTCACGCGAACTCGTGCTGCTCTATTTTTCCCAAAAGAGTAGTCGAGAGTTAAAAGTTCCTTTTGCTGATTGGGTTATTTTTTTTGTGGCACTTTGCAGATTGCTACGCAGAAGGCATCATCGGTGGCACCATGTCATACTCTAGCGAGCTTCAGTTTTCTTTCAGTAAAAAAATTGTGTAACTCTACCTATGACGTCGTTAGAGACTGACTGAGGAAGGTTTACTGGCCTTTGGATGCCAAACTTCATAAAAATCTGAAATTTTTTAAAAATTCATCCGCCATGTTAGATTCGCCATATAGAATTTTTGAAAACCGGATTCAGTTATGCATTCAGCGACTCACCTATGGATATCAAAATTTTATGAAGGTTTAACAAGTTTTTTAAAAATCCATTCGCCATGTTGAAATTTTAAAAATTGATTTCAGATTCGCAATCAGCAATCCCAAAAACTCTCGAATACCAATTTTGAAGTTTAAAAAATTACAAGGTAATATTCTATTGACCTATTGCTGTTGTTAAGGCTTGTTTTTCGCCATAAAAACCGTAAATGAACTGATCTAGAAAATCGGCCAATATGGACACTTTTTCTCACTCTACTTTCCAAAAATGCCTGATTTTTTTATGGGTGCAAAAAAAGTTGCATTTCGTCGCACAGTGTAGTATGCAACTCTCAATTTTTAAATAGAGTAAGTAGTTTATTTTTTTATATAGGAAATTGCATACGGCCGATGAACACATTCATGTATGCGAAAAATAGTATCCTTTTCTGAACAATTTATTTTTCCACCAACATGTTAGCATATGAGCGCACATACCTACATACATACATAAGTATGTGTATAGATACTTGTAAACCTATAAACATAAATAGCCCATACAATGTTTAGTAGAATTTATAAAATGAAAAGTCAGCACTTATGACAACCAGCTGTCGTTGCAGCAACAAATTCAATATATCCATTGAAAAGTACCTCTATGTTGCAAATGTATTTACGCACGCAAGTTGCAGGCAACATTTTTTACTTACTCTTTCAATATGCCATCCCTTTGTATTTTTTTTTTTTTTTTTTTGTAAATATTTCAGTTTGCCGGAACTGCTTGTCAATTTACCCTATTACCCGGCCACCTACCTGATGCTGACGCTCTCCGGCGCCATGACAGTGTTCACCTTCAGTGCCGTGGATGGATTCTTCCTTTGCGCTTGTTTGTATACGTGTGCATTGTTTCGTATGTTGCAATTTGACATACGCCATACATTCGCTGAATTGCAAGAACGTGAGTAAAACCAGCAGCAGCAGCCGAATGCGGTGCGCACTAAATGCACGTACATACATATACGCACGCTTACACCAAGATTCTTTACATAACCACCCATACATATGAACATGCATGCACATGGATGAACATGCATTGCACATGCTCCAACCAATTACTTACACATAAATGTTTACATACATACATATGCATTTTGTGCATGCCCTACACGTACCGTACACTCGGCCGCCCGGCGCTACTCTTCACAAAGTGAACGACTACTGCATGCCACAGCGGCTAGCAATTCACTAACTGCACTCACTCATCTAAGCGAACGTCAAATAGTGATTGATTCAATTTACAAATTTTTGCAAACCCTCTCGGCTTCTTCTCCTCCACTCAGCAACTCATCTGCACTTAACAAGCGTAACTTTTACTTTTCTATGTATTTTTTTCAATGGCCGTGTTCCTCTTCCTCGTATGAACATCTTGTTCATGTACAATCGTGGTTGTTAGTGGAGTACTCCACGTTGTTGCAAAATGTGCGGATACAACGTCGTTTGGCGGTGCTGGTTGAACGCCACAACAAAGTCATCGATCTGTGCAGCGATTTCGCATCGGAATTTACACTCATCGTGCTAATGCATTTTCTTTCAGCCGCGCTGGTATTGTGCTTTAGCATTTTGGACATGATGCTGGTGAGTTGATGAGATGGTTGCTCGCTTGACTACTATACTTTGTAATATTGATTAAGTGTTTGTTGTTATAATTGTTCATTGGAAGTGGACTGTTATCTTTTCCACTATCGTTACCATCAATGTTTCCATTACCATTACCATTACCCTCTTTTTTAAGTTTAAGTTTTAAAAGTCCTGATTTCTTTCGAGCAATACTCGATACTTTACCATTATCATTACCTTTAACATTACCGTTACTCCTAGTATTAAAATGCTATTACTATCACCATTATCATTGCAATTACCATTACCAATACCATTACAATACTATTGCCATTACCATTACAATTACCATTACCCTCCTTCTTCTAAAGCTTAAGTTTTACATTTTCTGCTTTCTCTCGAGTAATACTCAATTATGTTCCATTACCATTACCATCAAAATTAAGTTTTAAGCTGCCTTCTTTCTCGGTATAAGTCAATTCTTTAGCATTACCATTACCATTAGCATTAAGATTACCATTACTAAGTTTTAAACTTCCTGCTTTCTCTCGAATACTACTCATTTCTTTACCATTACCATTAGTACTACAACCACAACTACCATTACCATTACCATCACCTTTGTTATTACTATTTTCATTACCATCAACTTTGTCATTACTATTTCCATTATCGTCATCTTGGTCATTACCAATTCCATTACCATTACCATTACCATCACCTTTGTTATTACTATTTTCATTACCATCAACTTTGTCATTACTATTTCCATTACCATCATCTTTGTTATTACCAATTCCATTGCCATTACCATTACCATTTCCATAACCATTACCATCACCATCCCAATTACATTTACCATTCTTATTTTAAGGTTTGAGTTTTAAACTTTTTACCTTCTCACACCTTTTGCATAACTCATTCCAGAACTCCGCCTCCATTGGCATAGTCACGTACATCTTTTACAGCATTGCTGCACTAACACAACTCTTTCTCTATTGCATTGGTGGAACTTATGTTAGTGAAAGTGTAAGTGTCCTACAGGGTGAATAATAAAGCAAAAAATTATCTGAAAATCTATGTACTAGTAAATCTATGTTTTTAGAGCGTGGAAGTGGCTCAAGTTATTTACGATATTGACTGGTACAAGTGTGATTTACGCACGCGTCGTATGCTTTTGATAATGTTACAACGTGCACAGAAAGCCAAAACGATTGCAGTGCCATTTTTTACACCATCGTTGTCAGCTTTTCGATCGGTTAGTTGGTGACTAAATAAATGAAAAACAAAACTATAAACTACGTACATAATTTGTTACTAACTAAAATGGTTTTTTTCATAACACATTTATATACTTTCAGATCATAAGTACAGCTGGTTCGTATATTACATTACTAAAGACATTCATATGAGTACGGGTAGTTTATTTATATGATTAAAATGGCCAAAAGGATATAATATCTTTTTTAAGAAAATGTGAATATGTAAAAGCATAAGTTTTTAATTAAAACTATTAATAAAACCAATTAATTTTTTGTAATTTTTTTATAATCTTGCAACCAGTTCTTTTCATTTAAACATAGACCAAGACCCATTCTAACAATTCAAAAACCTTTTGTTTAATTTTCATTAATTCCTGCTAGATCCGATCCCACCTATTACGATATCCCAGTAGTGAAGGTCTCTCTGTAGTATCCATACTTGCTGTTCTTGGAAAAAAAGACAACAAAGGAATAGAGACTCGATCACATTATCGGTTTACTTAAATACAGATAACTCTTTTTAAAGTTAATTTGAAAAAGAAAAAATTGATAACATAAGCTTTTAAAAATTAAATGCAATTTAAAAATATTTTTATTTATAAATAAAAAAACCTACAAATTTAAAGAAAATTTAATTATACATAAAAAATTGTCCTTTTTAAATAATATAACCTACAAATTAATAGAAAATAAAAAAAGTTACATTCAAAAAAAGAAAATAAGTTCCTAAAAATTAAATGAAATAAAAAAATATATTAATTTTTCTTTTTAAAACAATAAAATGTAAAAATTAATATAATTAAATGAAATAAAAAATATCTTTTTACAAAACCTGTTAAAAATCTGTAGACCTAATGACAAATAAAATCTGAAAATTAAAATAAAAAAATTGATAAAAAAAATAACGAAACTCCCTAAAAATTTAATGAAATAAAAATATCTTTTTTTAAATACATAATCTAAAAATTAAGAGAAAATTAGAATAAAAAAAAATATTTAAAAAGAAAAGAAGAAAAAATTCAAGGCTACAAAAATTATAAGAAATGAAGAAAGTGTTTCCAAATAAATCCAAACATTTAGTTAAAAAAGAAAAACAATAAAAATAATTAATAAAATAAGTTTCTAAGAATTAAAAAAACACATTTTTTAACAATAAAATGTGAAAATTAAAAAAAGCAAGCAAGGAGTTTGTTTTTGTAATACTTTCGTGCCAGAAGAAACAAAATCTTTCAGACTATCTTACCTACTGTATTTCAGTTGTCTTACAAAAGACTTTCCACTATCTTAGTTAGAATTGTCCTTTAAGGCCCTTTATCATTCCACAAAATTCTCCACATAGGTCACTCACGCTGTAATTAAACGTCTTCATGCTTTAGTCCTTGAAAGACGGCAGCAGTTTTTTTCTTTCGCCATCGAACTCGCAGTCATCTGGAACTTAAGTCATTGTTACCATTTCTTCTGCTGCCAACAGTCGAAAAGTACCAAAATGGGCCTTGATTTGCTTGAAAGTCATCATCCAATTTTTATTTAAGAGCTCAGCTGCCAGCTTCATTATCTCTTAAGATAACATAAAATATCTCCCTAGCTTTCTTTTGTAGATTTCCGTTTTCGGCGGTCGCAATTGATAACACTCGGCCTAAAGCAAAGCAGGTCGTTAGGCCTTACCGTATGCTTACTTATCACGCAATGGCTAGTTAGAACTATCATCAATAGCGAGAAGTGAAACTTGCTTAGTACCAAGAGCTTCCTAGCCCGCCTCCGGTCAACACGTGGCCAAAAGCATTTAGCAACCTTGCATTCCATTGACTCGTCCAACGCTTGCTGAGCTGACTTAACGGCCATCTGTCCGGAAGCAGGCCACACGAGGTCAAGCGAGCTCCCACTCGTTTTCTATTCGAGAGTACTTTCTCAACGGTTCCCTGGCTTACCAACTCATCGGCCATACAGTTTCTAGTAATTTTGATGTGGCCCGGAACCCAAATAAACTTAATAGTGTAGTAAACCTATGAGGTCGATATGGAAGTAAAACAATCCTTCACCGTTCTCCAACAAACCGTCAAGAGGCAAGCAACATGATAGCCGCTGGCTTTTGGAATAGATATTCATCCACATACTGTCAAAATTTCAGCCGAATCGGACTCAAAGTTTTGTTTTGACCGCGTGTGGAAGCGGGTGTGTCCGCGGATTTTAGAAAACTGGAAAAAGAGCAATATCGGTCGGTGATCCGATTCCTGTTTTTGGAAGGGAAATCGCGCAGCGAAATCAGAGCGCTCGTATGCTGTGTACGGTGACTCTTCCCCTTCGATCGCGACAGTCAAAAATTGGTTTAACGAGTTTCATCATGATCGAAAGTCGGCTCTTGATGAGCCACGAGCAGGTGCCCCGAGAACGGCTACCAACGAGGATAACATGGCAAAAATCCACGATCTCGTATTGGCAGACCGCCGATTGAAGGTGCGCGAGATAGCTGAGACAGACAGTAGGCATCTCAAAAGACCGCGGGGTCATATCCTGCATGATATTTTGGGCATGAGAAAGCTGTCCGCACGACGGCTCACTCCAGACAACAAGCGTAACCAAGAGACCACTTCAGAGCAGTGTTTGACGCTGTTTAGGTGCGATCCGAAGGAGTTTATGCGTCGGTTCGTGACCGTCGACGAAACATGGATCCACTGGTGTACAGCATAGACCAAGGAACAGTCGAAACAGTGGACTTCACCCGAAAAACGTGCTCCGAAGAAGGCGAAAACTGTGCCATCGGCAGGAAAGGTGACGGCCACTGTTTTTTGGGATTCACAAGGTGTGATATATATCGACTACCTGAAGAATACTATGCCGAATTATTTGGCCGATTCAATGCCGAATCGCAGAGATAACGGCCTCTTTTGGCGAAGAAAAAAGTGCTCTATCACCATGACAACGCGACGGCGAAGGTGTGAGCCAAATTTGTCGAACTGGGCTACGAAGTGATGCCCCATCCAGCGTATTCTCCAGAAAAATGCTACAGTGATCCAGTAACCTAAATTTCAGGTTAATGGAGAGTTCTTCGCAGAAGACTCCTCCACAGCTTCGATCCACTTTTAAAAAGTTAACAGGACCCTGTTTCCAGATACAGGAATGGTCCTTTATCGCTGGAATTTGGGGGAAGAAAGATCCATTCGGACCAAATTTCGGCGTGCAGAGGTTTGCCGAGTCGGTAGGAGCTTGGAAGATTTTTAGAACAATGGAATGCCCACAGGTCGACGCGAGCTTAAAGCCCACCACACTTACATTACTCCGACGCGCACAGCGGTAGCTCTGCCTGCTATTTCTATGGGGCACGAAGTGTGCCGCACTGATTCCAATTAAAACAGCTTTTTGCATTCTTTACAGCTGCTTGCCTATGATGGCCTTGTCAAGTGCGTTTCGCCAGCTTAATTATAGTTCCATAAAGCCAATGAATTACCTTCGGCGATATACCCGAGCACTTGCCAATGGTCGTCCTTAAACAATATAAGGTTACCGCTGTCTTCTTGACTCTATCCTCTACGTTGGGCTTCTTAAAACGCTTACTATCAAGGATCAAGGACCAAGAACCTGCCAGAGAACCTGAGTGGAAGACCACCCGTTGAGAAAAGATGGAAATTCGGTTTCTAATATGTTTCTCCTAGTAAAAATAAAAAGAAGCGAGAGTACCAGGAACTCATAAAATTTTATGTGTCAACATCTCTGTACCGCCAGGCAAAGCATTAGGCGTTTCAGTTACATACATACTATACATATATAGGTTAGGTTAGAAAGTAAACATTAATTTAATTTCATTTTATTCATTTTGTCGGGACCAATACACGGCATTTTCATAACCACTTCCGCGATAGCTCAGGCCTATTTCAGCATTATCTCCGTAAATGATCCCGAACTAGTGCCAAAATTATCCTGAAGTGGTTCTGAACAGGGACCGAACATAACAGTTATTGATGAAAACTGTCATTGAAAAATTCACTATGAAGGAAATGTTCTACAACTAAGTGATATATACCGATCGATTTATTTTTTTACCGGGAATCAAATTTGAAAATAAAATTTTATTTCTAATTTTTATGCAAAATTCAAAAAAAAATAACAATTATTTTTGATTTTTATCTAAATAATCTGCAATTAACAGTTATTTTTGATTTTCATATTACATCTCTTAGATAACAGTTATAGAAGACTTTATTTCAGCCCAAAAAATGTATATAAAGATTTGCTGTAGAAACATTTTTAGGTCTTCAAAAGATAGCTTCAGACATGCTCTATAGATCCACAATTTTTTATAAAAATTGTACAAAAACTTTATGAGAAATTCGCGCTTGAAGCTTTTAAAACAAAAATACACCGGTCGTACGACCTTTTTGCAATCGAAGTATCGCCCAACTGCCAGCAGCCAGGACTCCATTTTAAAATTTTTCAGAATTTTTGTGCGCAACTTTAAAGTCATCAATAAAAATCAGTCGCCGACTTTTATTTTTTAAATAATACGTATAAAAGCCACTATAATTTTTCGCAGTTAAAAATGTGTTGGAAAACCAAAGTTTACTACGAGTTATACAACTGACTTTTACAATTTGAAAAATAAAATTCAGTGACTGATTTATATTGATGACTTTTATAAATACAAGTCTTCAGTAACTGTTATCTAAGATATATAATTTAAAATCCAAAAATTACTGTTATTTGCAGATTATTTAGATAAAAATCTAAAATAATTGTTATTTTCGATTTATAAAATAAAACTCAGTTGTAAAATGAACTGACTATTCTGAAGTGCATTTTACGTTTTCAGAAGTACATTTGACGCTTTCTGAAATGACGCTTGGAAATGGTGTAGACGCGAAATATTTCTGAAATAGTCCTGAACTCGTCTCGGGATGGGGTATAACTTGTCCCAAAATGATACTAAAGTAGTCCTGAACTAGACGCAAAATGATTCTCAACCCAGTACCAAAATGATTTCGAGCTAGTCCTGAAAGGTCTCTGAAATAGTGCCGAAATGTCCTGAACAGGTCCCGAATCAGTTCCCCGAAATGATCCCGAAATGGACCTGAGCAAGTCCCGAATCGGTCCCCCGAAAAGATCGCGAACTATTTATTCCTGAAATCGTCTTAAACTGGTTGTGAACCCAACGCGCCACTATTTAAAAGCTTAATTTTCCACCAAGTTCAGGTAACCCTGCTTAAGTACAAACGGTGTCTCCAGAAACT